TGCCACTAGGGAAGTCCTAATCTTTTTCACTGACTGTTGTTGACCTATAATATGTAATGCACTAGAGGTAGTGATGTGGTATTAAGAACAGGGACTCCTGAGACTGGATTCCTGGTTCAAATCTGAGCTCTGCCACTTCCTACCTGTCTGACCTTGAGCATCTCACTTATCTCAATTTCTTTTCTTTAAAATATTTCCTAGCATTGTTATGAGGAATAATTAGATATTACACAAAGCACAGAACCTGGCACATAGTAACATGTGCTGAGGGCTATTATATTGTGGCCATTTTATTCTACAACTTGACTTTTTAATGGCTTTAAGGTAACCACTGGGTTTTCGGTCTTAAGGGCTGAGAAAGCTTAATGTCTGTTAAGAAACTCATCAGCTCTTTTGTTTCCATTGATCTTCACCTCTGTTTCAGGACCTTGTTTTTCTTAAGCCTTTAAACAACGCCTAAATCTCTTTCATTCAGAATTGCAATTTGTAAATGTTAGCACCACATTGTCTTTGGTCAATGTTTAACCTCTATCTTTAACAGCTTACATCTTTTTAGACATTGAAACCCACATATAAACTTAGATAAGTTTCCTTAATGTTTAAACTACATTTACATGTTTAATACATCTTACCTTCTTAACCACTGCAAATGCACAGGGAGGCCAACATACAAATTTAACAAGCAAAGTATTTCTAAGCCCGTCAGCTGGAGCTCATGCCTGCATTTAACCTCTCATGTGGGATGCTGTCCGTGAGCTTCAGATCAGACCTGGGAGTAAGTCACGAGTCGCACACTTGCACCTTTTCTTCGAGCCTTGAACCTCTGTCACGTGGCCCCTTTCCTATTCTTTTGGTAAACCATAACCTCTGATATGAATTACTGAGGTCCTACACCTCCTATTCATATCTAAGTCGGTACTTAATTGGATACTGCATCCTTCTTATAGTATTAATATACTTGTCTCACAATTCTGTAGTTACTATATCAAAATAGAGTATTAACATGGCTATAATTTATTTAATCCCCTGTTGTTGGATATTAGGCTGTTTCCAATTTGCTCTTATAAATAACTGTGTTGAAAGCATATTTGTAGAAACATTTTGTGTACATCCTTATCTCCTTGGGATAAATTCCCAAAATAGAATGACTGGGTACCATTACCCCAATATTGGCTGTATAATGTAGTCTAATATCTACTGGTACAAACCTTCTACTGCTGCCCTCATTTTCACTCCCTGATGAACCTTAGAATCATTTTTTGTCAAATTACAGGAAAAATACTATTGGGATTATTAAGAGAAAATGACTAATGTTGTATACTAATATGGTAAGATCAAACCCTTTATGGTATAATAGAGGTGAAATAAAACATAGAAGCAAAATTATGTATTTTCTTGTAATTTGACAGAAAGATCCTGAAGTTCCCTTAGGGGTGAAAAGTGGAGGATTTTTTCCACTAGATATTAGAACACATATTACACAGCTAAAATAGTGATATTGGCATTGAAAGAGCACAGCTATATACACACTTCTGTTCCTACTGCTGAGTACTTTCTCTCCCCCAAATCAAGTGGATACTGAATTTTCTCAGCTTCCTTTTTTAACTTCACTCAAGATGATCGTATCTTTTCTGTTTACATTTCTTTTTTGTATTTAATAAAGTACAAATTAGTCATTTCCTAATTTGAAACCTTCCTTGTATTTCTGGAGAAGATCATACTTAGTTCTTAAAAACAAAAGCAAAACCTAGTAAAACAGTATCATTGTACTATAAGTTTCAGAGTTTCACAGTTGCCTTCAAAAGAAAGATTAATCTATAGAGATCTTGAACTTTTAAAATATTATCTAGACTAACTTCCAGTATATATTGCAATGTAAGAGAACTTGGAAATCCTTTCGTCTGCTTTGTGCTCTGACAGAGGACCCTAAACAAGTGACCTAATGGGATTGCCATCCCTCAAGAGGAACTATTGCGGCTTTTGTCACTTTCCAGATCCTTACTGGTAGGAAGGCCTCACCATAGGGATGAGTATGTTGTAATTATCATCTTGATGATAAACATCGCATCTCAAGATTGGCTGATACATGATGAATGTGCTTTGTATACTTAATCCTCTTGATGAAACCCCAAGGAAAATATCAATCCCGCCACTAATGTTGATAAATGGGCTTTGTACTCACAGAATGCTGTTGCTCCCAGGAGCACAAAGCTCTTCAGGATTAATTATTTCAGTCATTCTCACAGTTGTCCCAGGAGGTGGATAGCTGAACGCTTCCTCTTTAAAAAAAAAAAAAAAAGTAACTGTTTTCTTCTGTTCTACATTCTGTATTCTAGAACTAGGTAGCTACCTTTTTAAAGACCATCTGTATGTCCACTGGTGGACTTGGGTTTCAAAATCAACAAGATTCTTACCCCCTACAGACACCAGGCTCGGAGCAGATGTGTAGTAGTAAAGTTGGACGGAATTTGGATAATAGTTTGGCAAGATGCTATGAGTGGTGTAGCCTGAAGTTGGTAACGAGAGACAGGCAATGGCTGAGTTAGTGCTTTGGTACCTCCATTAGAAGTAGTTGTCCACGGTGTTGAAGGTTTGTTTTCGAAAATGCCTTACTCAGGCAGCTGTTCATTATACTTGTCCTACAACACTGAGCTAGGGCACTAAAGAGAATCTCTGTCAGTCTTCTTTCACAGAGAGGGGCCCTGGTCCTTTCTCACCCTGCCCTGATGCATTAGTATCTGGGGGCTTTTCACAGGGGCAGAACAGTAGAAAGGTAAGAGGTCCAAAATTTTTGGTACTACCTCTTAGCCAATCTCCATCTCTTCTGTTTCCCTGCCAGACTAACTTTCCTCTTGCTTTCGCTTCCTCGGAAATGGACAGTGACTTTCTGTGGACACTTCTTTAGGGATACAGCTAAGGCTACATTTTTTCTTTTTTTTTGTTTGCGGTACGCGGGCCTCTCACTGTTGTGGCCTCTCCCGTTGCGGAGCACAGGCTCCGGACATGCAGGCTCAGCGCCCGTGGCTCACGGGCCCAGCCACGCTGCGGCATGTGGGATCTTCCTGGACCGGGGCACGAACCCGTGTCCCCTGCATCGGCAGGCGGACTCTCAACCTCTGCACCACCAGGGAAGCCCTAAGGCTACATTTTGATCTAGCGATCCACCTCATCCTTCTTCGTCTTAACAATATGCCAGTCAGTCTTCTCCAAAGTTTTGCTATTCTAGTTCCGTCTCTTCAGCTAAACTTCAAGCTCTTTGGGTGAATGTTCAGGTCAGTGTTTGTTTTTTTTTCCTTCAAATTCCTTTTAATTGCACCCACATATTCCTCAGTGCTGGGACATTTAGGTGCACAATAAACATTTGTGGTTGATCATCTATTTGCCATTCACAACTGTTAAGAAATATTGCTTGTCCATACTGACTGTGCCATTTTAACTTTTTTTTTTTCCTTTTTCTTTCGTTAAACAAAGGCTTAGCTGTCACCACTTTGAGTTTTTCCTCCTCCCTATTTTTCTCCCCTGAAGTTACCCCGAAGGGGAGGTCTTTAAAATGCAAAGGATTGTGCTTAAGCTGTGCAGTGTACTCTGGGTGGGGACTAATTACGAGGTTTGAAAACTTCTTCAGGCGGCTGGGTTCTGGATTGGGCCGAAAATACTGCTTTCCTAAATTGACAACAGCTGGGGCCGTGTTGCTGGCACATATAAAAGAGGTGGTGCTGGTGCTGTGTTGTGGAGCAATCTTCACTCTTTAGAGCCTGTGGAGCTTTAAGCAGAGGGCACCTTTCATCACTGGTGTCGTGGTGGGTAAGTGCCCCGAGCTGGTCCTCTGGGTCCGCGTTTCTGTTGTTTGGTAGAAATTGTGGTGACTGTATCGAAATGTTGTCAGTTACTAATTTACCATGTTAGTTGTAGTGAATTATTTTATCCTTCCAGTAATGAGGAGAATTTCTCCCTAAATGGGCATAGCTAATAAGGCTTTGTGTATCTTTTCACTGTGTTACTTTGAAGGCTGTCAGTTTTCCTTCTTGTATGGTGTGCATCTCTGAATATAAAAGGATAAACAGAGGTAGTGCCATTTCAAGTATCTTGAATGCATAGTTCTTGAATATGTTCTGAAAAGTAGTCACTTAAAAAGATTCCAGTTTTTAATATGAAAGTAGAAAGTTGACCATTTTGACAAATGCAGAGAATAACAATTATTCTATGCATGTAAGCAATTCATCACAGTTTTTTTATCCTTTAAGGTTCATAGAAAAGACCCAGTCTTAGGAAGGAATGATGTGATCTCTGGGTGGGTTCTAGCTTATTATGACTTCATGGTTTGCAACAAGTGATAGTGTCTGATGAAGTGTTTGCAGTGCTGGGTCCTGACTTTTATTTATAGAAATTTAAAAGGAATTGTTTATTAAAATTTTCCTATTTATACTGACATCAGCTCAAAAAGAGAAGAATTCCAAGATGAAACAATTCAATGTTTTGTTTATTTATTTTTAAATTTTATTTATTTATTTTTGCCTGTGTTGGGTCTTTGTTGCTGTGTGTGGACTTTCTCTAGTTGCGGCAAGAGGTGGCTACTCTTCATTGTGGTGCGCGGACTTCTCATTGTGGTGGCTTGCGGAGCACGGGCTCTAGGCACACAGGCTTCAGTAGTTGTGGCACACGGGCTCTGTAGTTGTGGCTCACGGGCTCTAGAGCAAAGGCTGAGTAGTTGTGGCACACGGACTTAGTTGCTCCGCGGCACGTGGGATCTTCCCAGACCAGGGCTTGAACCCATGTCCCCTGCATTGGCAGGTGGATTCTAAACCACTGCGCCGCAAGGGAAGTCCCTCAGTGTTTTATAAATAAACATCATCTCAGTAGCTTTAACTATGTTCTGACGATACATTTATAAAGCAAATGGCTTTGGTATTTGTTTCCTTATTTTGATAATGTTTTTGTTTTGGATGCTTGACAACTGGACAAGCACAGTTTCTGAACATAGTTCTGTTTTGTTTTTACAGGTGGGATAGTAACATCTTTGGGGGAAAGAAAATTGGCTTCCTTTCCTGAAAACGGTGAATGTACAGCAGATGGTTGCCCAGGAGGAACAGTAGTCCGATGGAGACCCTCTAGGTTTTGTACTAGGAAACAGAATCAGTTGTAAGAGTCCATGTTGATCTTGGCAATAGAAGGATTAAAAAAAGTTGAGTTTCCACAAAGAACAAGAACTTTACCATCTCCTTTTTGATCTGAAGACCAGAGGACAATGGATATCATAGAGACAGCAAAACTTGAAGAACATATGGAAAACCAAACCAACGATCCTGCAAACACTTACGCAAGACCTGCTGAACCTGTTGAGGAAGAGAACAAAAATGGCAATGGTAAACCTAAGAGTTTATCCAATGGGTTGCGAAAGGGCACCAAAAAGTACCCGGACTATATCCAAATTGCTATGCCCACGGAATCGAGGAACAAATTTCCCCTAGAGTGGTGGAAAACGGGCATTGCCTTCGTGTATGCTCTTTTCAACCTCGTCCTGACAACCGTCATGATCACAGTTGTGCACGAGAGGGTCCCTCCCAAGGAGCTCAGCCCTCCACTCCCAGACAAGTTTTTTGATTACATAGACCGGGTGAAATGGGCATTTTCTGTATCAGAAATAAATGGAATTATATTAGTTGGATTATGGATCACCCAGTGGCTATTTCTGAGATACAAGTAAGTAAGGTCTAACATGTTTTGGGGATTTGCCATGAGTTTATATTTTAGTGAGCCGGTGTGTAATTGAAATGATCTTTCTCGGTTTTATCTGATAAATTCAGTCTTATCCAGGCACTTAATGAAAAGAATCAATAGAAAGATCTACAACCTTGAGTAAATCCAGTCATTATTCCATAAGCATTTATTGAGCAACTGTATGAAAGTGGCAACTGTGTGTGAAGGTGCAGAAGTACTGTGGTGGATGATTCAGACTTTGTAAATTGAAGGTGCAGTTCTAATTTCAAGCAACTTGGCACTCTGGTATTTGCATGATACATTAAGAGCCTTGGAAAGGAATAACATTCACTTCATCATGCTTGTGTTATTCCAGGCTCTTGACAGGTGGGGAAAGTTGTAGGCTGGGAAGCTTTTTTCTCTGTTACTCATAATGTGATGACTATATTGGTCTATAGTCAATTGCAGGCTTTGAGGTTTGCCTCTCTTCAAGAGTTCTCGAATTTTACATGCCTTTTCCTTTTGCCTTTTGGCAATCCAGTCACAAGAGTTTGTTTAATAAACTGCATTTAGAGCTGGGTCCATGCGGTTTGGCTTTTAGATTTCTAAAGTAAACGTGCCTTCTGGTTTCCTCAAGCCATCACAAAGGAGCACTTAGTTCATTGGTTTCAGTCTTCCCATTTTAGAATAGCAGGAATCAGGAAGTGTAGTAAGCCAGGTACTTTTGCTTTGAAGATACTTAAAAATAGGACACAGCTCTGAGGTGGTTATTTCTGCTTCCCTGTTGAATTCTGACTGCTACTCCATTAAGAAAAAAGGCCCCTCAATTCCTCTTTTCTCCTCAGCCATCATTCAGATGTTTTTTCTCTACTAAGATTCTAATAATTAAATCACAAATATAAGTTTAATTAAAACATTGCCCATAAACGGAGGCTTTTGAAAGCGTAATACATACTAACATAGTCAATACACTTCAGAGTCAAATAGGGTTTCAGTAGCAATGCCACAAGATCATTTTTTGAAGAAGGAATTTACGCTATATTGTTCTTTCAATTGGTTGTTGCTTTGAGATTTGAAGAGTTCAGTCTATTTTTGTTAAAGAGTTCCCCACATGCAGGTGTGCAGGTTTGAAAACTTATTACACAAACTGAAGTTCATTCCTAAGCATTTTCTTTAAAATATTCCTCTTAATAATGTATAAGTAAAAAACATAGCTGTCAATTGTCTTTTACTTAGTAGGGGAACTTTACGCTAAAGTTGTTAGTTATAACGTGCTTTATGCTACAAGCAAACAGTGTAGCAGTTGAACTTTAGCGTTTTCCTTTTTAGTGTCTGGAATTGACACTGAATATAAGAGAGACTGCTCAGGCCAAAGATATTTGCTCTCTCCTTTGTTTTAGAGCAAAGTTTTATTTGTATATGTGTGTGAAAGAAATTTCCCAGGGCCGGGTAAGTAGCTGGCTTCCAGCCTGCAGTACAGTCTCGGTGTGTTTGCATCTTCACGTAGAGGACAGTTGTTACCTGTCTCTCCAGTGCCAACTTCGGTTTTACCATGTCAAAACTTGTTTTCACACAGGCCAGCCGCATGTTTTAATGATAGCTACTGTTTGGGTCACAATCCACCAGCAAAAACTTGGGGACATCACACTAATTTTCCTTTTTACTTTTCATATAGAATTGGATCTTATATTTTAATAACTGGTAGAGTCATTTTTATAACCCGTTTTGAACATTCCAGCTGAATAAGAAATTCTAGTTGTTCTCTCTCTTTCCCTCTCACTCTCTCACTTAAAACACCTTGAAAGCTATGGGGGAAAAATCACTGGCAGTAGTTCTTTAACTAAGGCTGCAGAGTGCATGTTTCACCTCTTAAGTTAATTTTCTGTTCTGAGTACAGCTGAACTCTGAATACTGGAATGAATATAATTGACCCATAATAATTCCTGCTTATTACTTCACCTTGTCTAACAGCATGGAGCACAATTCAGCACTCTTTTTGAACCTGGGTTTGAATCAAAGGGAGAATAGTTTTTCACTTAACCAAATGGAAGCACTCAGCAATGTTCATTACCTGTTCCTTTTCAGTACTAGAAAAGGCAGGGCTAGAATAGCAAGCCTTTGAAAGAAATGCCTTGCAAGAAATAGATACTTTCATCAACTAGTCAAGGTGTTTCTCTCTATATTTTGACCCCAGAAACCCTGGAATCTCCTTAAAATAGCTCTTGGAGACAGGCAGCTAAAATTATATTTGTACATGATGCTTTAGAAGTCCCAACGGTAACCTGAATTAGACCTTGATCCATGGCAGACCACAGTCTTGGAGGAAACTTAAAATATTCCACATGCCTAAAATTGCCTGTTTTTCCAGAGGTTTTTGATCACTGGTTTTGGAAGTTTGAGAGCTCTGAAAATGGGAGACCTGGAGTAACATATTTTGTGTACCAGGGAAGTTATAACTAGTAATCCTAGGGGCTTTGTGGATCCCAGCCATCTTTATAGAGCCCAGAGTTTATAGGCCCACCTCTAACTACACAACAGTCATCTTCAGAATTCTTGAGGCCCATTCAGGTACCCAAGAGACAGTGGTGCAGATGGGCAGAACCCTTCCCTTTGGAGGACAGTGTGCTCAAAGCCAGCTTCTGGGAACCACTGCCTTAGACTGACGACTTAGGGGGCGAAGGACAGGGACTAATGTTAGTCAAGACAACTGTCTTCACCGAAACATATAAAGTGAAAAAGGACTTGTGGGATTCTTTTTTTTTTTTTTTTTACCTCTTTTGATCAAGATTGCATAAAATCAGGGTAAACTAATCAGTTTACAGCTTCAGTCTTAATTGTCCTTAAATGCACGAGGACACTTTGAACATCTTCAAAATATAATTCTCTGAAAATCTCTATAGTTGTAGACAAAATAGTTCATGCCTAAGTTGTCAGAATATTTTTGGATAGTCTCCAAATAAACCTTGCTTATATAACTTAGGTTAAAAGAGTTGTCCCATTTCCCTGTGTGCCCAATTATGTCGTATCACCTTAGCTCATTAGTTAATTCCTCTGTGACCGTGGCTCGCTTATACCTCTGCTGTGTTCTCAAGAGAGGGTTTATTAATGCAGTGAGTTGACTGACAACGTAGAGAGGTTCATTGAATTCTCTGGCAAAGGGGACCTTTTTTAGGAGTGGTAGTTGTGTAAAACCCTTAATCTACTTTAACACCCCCTCTCCTCAGAGACTCATTCCTTTGGGGCCCAACCCACCTAGATCAATTGCAGTATGTGAATCTTCACTTCTGAAAACTCCAACTATTCTTTACCCTTTTAAACATTATTTTATGTTGCCTTAGGAGCAAAAAACCCCAGTAAACCTATTTTTCCCCATCCCTGTTTTTCCTTTAGGTCAATAGTGGGGCGCAGATTCTTTTTTATCATTGGAACTTTGTACCTATATCGCTGTATCACGATGTACGTTACTACTCTCCCTGTGCCTGGAATGCATTTCCAGTGTGCTCCAAAGGTAAGCCCCTCTGAATTACCATTTAGAGGACATTAAGCAAACAGTGATTGAACACCTGCTCTCTGTTATGCATTCTCCTAGACATGTTCATATATGTTAATTGAAATCTAGCATATTTTGTTTTGCTTTAGATTTTGGGGGGAAACATTAAAATGTGTTCATAAAACTTATGTGTTTGTGCATAAAAAATTCATCTTCTGCTAACTGGAAGTTACTATTGGGTCTTTGACTCTGCATTTTTGCCTTCTCATTTACTCATTCATGAATTCATTTTGAAAGTATTAAGTTCCTGTTATATACCAGGCACTGTGTAACAGCAATGACCAAAACAAAGTTTTCCTCCTCCGAGAACGTATATTCTTTTTCTTTTTTTTTTTTTTTTTTGGTACGCGGGTCTCTCACTGTTGTGGATGTCCTCTCCCGTTGCGGATCACAGGCTCCGGACGCGCGGGCTCAGCGGCCACGGCTCACGGGCCCAGCCGCTCTGCGGCATGTGGGATCTTCCCAGACTGGGGCACGAACCCGTGCCCCCTGCATCGGCAGGCAGACTCTCAACCACTGCGCCCCTAGGGAAGCCCTTAGAGAACGTATATTCTTATTGAAGGATGGCGACAGTTAAATGAAGTCATAACTTGTTACATGGTGGTAAGTCAGGTGGCTATCAGATGGAGAACAGTAAAGCTGAGTAAGGGTGAAAGGGTCTATGAGGGTAGGTTCTAATTTATAGAGTGGTCAGGAAAACTTCTTCAATAAGAAAGCTTTTGGGCAGCCAAGATGAGGGAGTGAGCCGTGTGAATGGGGTGAGAACTCCAGGACAAAGAAATAACTTAACCATAGTGCATTCAGGGAAGAGCAGGGAGACACGTGTGGCTGCATAGGAGTTGAGATGATGCAGCCACAGATCTCACAGGGCCTCTGTGCCCATTGTAGGAACTTGGACCTTGGTGGTGGCAGTGGAAATGAGGAGAAGCCGTTTGACTCGGGATATATTTTGAAGGTAGAGCCCACAGGATGTGCTAATAAGTTGGATATGGGTTTAAGAGAAAGAAGTCAAGGATGACCTCAAAGTTTTTAGCAACTGGAAGGATCGAGTGGCCTTTCACTGAGATAGAGTGTGAGAATGGATACTGAAACTGTTGTAAGCAGGATTTATAGTTTCTCCAGGTAGAGTCATTTCTCAAGAGAGCTGTTAATCATCTTAGACCCCAGTGTGCCCTGGTTTAAAAAGGAAACTGACAAATCATGTGCTTTCTGGGCAAGAGAATGAAGTCTATCATATTTAACTGAACACTAAGCAGATGTCCAAGGTGGAAGGAAAAATAGAGTTGTTCTGAAGAAGTCAACAGTCTCCTTCACCAAATATAGGTGTGGTTTGGAGAAGCTATAATTTTCCAAAGCCATCAAAGCAGAAAGTGTCTGTAATTGAAAGTGTACATATTGAATTTAAACATTGACTGATTTTTAGTGAAACTAATTTAAGTCATGGGAGAAGTTCAGAAGCATAATAAACCCTTCTAAGGGGTTATTGCAATGGGTTAAATGAAGAAATGGCCACAGGAAAGAAGGCAAGCCCATCCTAGTAACGGGTGAGGTTTGCAGGGATGAATTGCTATGATTACAGAAAGCATGTAAAGATTATCTTCTGTGGAAAAGTTGCAATTTTCAGAAGCCACAAGAGCAAATGTACTGCTGGATAACCAAGCTACAAATGTTCACAGTGGAAGCTCTGGGAACAGCCCCTGTGTTCAGATGTCAAGACCTAAGACCTTTTCCTGAAGCATCAGCAGGCTATTGGTGCCTGGATCGTGGTTCAGTAAAACAAACACAGATCAGTTTGTTTCAGTAGAGGTGATGTGGTCTTACAGAGCAAGAGGCAGAGTTGCATTCTAAATGTGGTTCAGCCGCTGGCTTCGAGTGTTCCTTAGATTTTTGTGGTTACAAAACTGTTAGATAATCTACCTGTCTCCTTTGTTGCTGACTCTATAGAATGCCCTTAGTGACTGAGAGCAATGACAGAACTGTGTATACTGAAGCCACTTGCTATGGAAGGTTATCTGACTAGTCACTGATGCCTCCCATCACTTGTTACTTAGTGGATGTGAGCACAGAAGCCATCACAGTGATAGGCCCTTAGTGAAATCCTTGGCTCTCACAGTTTTCCAGTTGTCTTCCCCCTTCTCTATCCTATGGTTTACTTTAAGTCCTTGGCTTAACGATTTGCTTCATCCCACACACCCAAGTTTTAGTTTGCAGTTGCAAAATTTGAGTTCTGAAAATTGTGTTCAAATAGATATTGACCTAGTTATTAGAACTCACATGAAATGATTTAGCTTCTCAAACCCCTTTTGCCACAGGAATGTTGGGCTGGCACAGCTACATTCCTTTCCCTGGGAAAGCTTCCCTCTCATCCTGGCCATAGAGGTCCAAAGGACTTCTCTTCTAAATTGAAGGGATGGTGTGGATGGTAAGGTTTCTGGTTTGGCAGCAGCCAAGTTGGGCTCTCTTGTACCTAATTTATTTTTGTGGGAAATGTTGTGTGGAGGTCATAGTTTGAGGAACCCTTGAGAACACTGAGCTCTGTCTGTTTTGGTTATTATGGTCAATGCTTCTCTTCCTGGTTTTCTACATCTTCAGCTTCATAACCAGGAATGGCATAGAATGGGTCTGAAAAATGAGGAAATTAAGAGGAACTAGAGTCTTTAGTGGTGTGTGATAGAGGGCCTCAATGAAATAGAACAGAACTAGAAAATAATCTGTTAATCCCGACTCTCACTATTACCCTCCCCCTTCCCAGTTTTCTTTCAGCCCTCTTTTAAAATTTCCTGTCTTGAAGTTCAGTTTAACATTTATGCTGAGCATGATCTGACATCTTAAGATAGCAGTGACAGGACTGAGGAATTAAGAACTGAGAAAGTACAGAAAAAGCAAGAAGAGAGTCCTTCCTCTGTTCTGTGAAGGCATATGGAATCAAGGGGGGAGAAAAGAAAGGGGGGAGAAGAGAATGTGTGGCAGTATTTTAGTTCCTGGTTTAATTATGTCTTTTGATCCATCTAAATTTCTTTCTAGTAAAGAAATTTAAGTGTTTCTGCCCTTAGAAAATTCGAGTATTGAGTTGGGGTGGGTCAGTGGATAAAAAAAATATTATTATAGTTTTGAAATGAATAATGTGTTCTTTAAACTGGGAACACAATGGTCAGGCAGAGTGTATGTACCTTTCTATTTGATCTCATTGTTGACAGTTGTTTGTACCAACCGCACAACCAGAAATTCCTGAAGGTCTGTGGCTGATCTGATAAAGCGCATGCTAGATTCTATCCTCCACATCAAGGGCTTTCACGTCATTTTATGTGGTTTGCAGTACGCCTTTCCTGAGGGGCACCTGAAGTGAGTCCTGCAACTCTGTCAACAGTCCTTACCTTCTCCGGGTTTGGATCCTTTACTGCCTGCTAGACCCTGTCTTTTCAAGGCAGGGTCACCTGTTACTTGGCATGTTTGGTTTAAGGACTCAGTTCTTGATAAACTGCACATGTTCTCTCGGTTTTGCCAGCTGGGCTCGGCCTAAGCAAACTCTTGAAGAAAGTTGAGTTTCTTTGAAACCTCCAGTTTCTCACGTTGCCCTCTAATCCTGTTTCATGTCATTTTCTGCTGCAGAGCTTAATTCTCAACTATCACCCGATAGTGTGTTTGCCTTTTTACAAGGGTCGCCTGAATACCAGAAAGCTTTCCAGATCCATAAGATATTTTTAATCAGGAAAGTTTTAGGCAAGGAATCCTGCCGTAATTCCCATTTTACCATATAGGATGGTTTCCCACCTGCTTTGGAGACTCAATTTCTCTACTCCTAGACCATCTTCTCCTCCATCTGTACACATCTTACCCTCCTTCACCACTACATGTCTACTTGGACTAGACACTACCTGTCTACACCACCAAACAGTTTGCCACCATCATGTCTGGCCTGGCCATGCTTCAGGGGCCAGTTGCCCAGAAGGATCATCGCTGAGTATGAAAAGCACTGTATCTTACAACTGTGCCCCTGGTCCCAAGTGAAAATAGTCATTAATGGTCTTTCTGTATTTCTCTTCTTGTGTATACCCTGACTCCATTTTATTTCTGAGTGTCATTCTTTGATTTTCTAAACCTATTCACTTGCTATTAGACTGATCGGAAACCCTCCATCCGGCCGTACAGTGTTTCAATGTTCCATTTTCCCATGTATTCTATCTCAGTCCACTCTCCTTCCTGTATGCTTAAGGTTTGGGTTTTGGGGGGCGTTTTTTTGGGGGGGTTAATACAATTTTTAAAGGTTACACTCCATTTACAGTTATTGCCAAATTATTGGCTCTATTCCCCGTGTTGTACAATGCATCCTTGAGCCGATCTTACACCCAGTAGTTTGTATCTCCCACTTCCTCACCCCTATATTACCCCTCTCCCTTCCCTCCCCGCTGGTAACCACTAGTTTGTTCCCTATATCTGTGAGTCTGCTTCCTTTTTTGTTATTTTACTAGTTTGTTGTATTTTTCAGATTCCACATGTAAGTGATACCTGTATGCTTAAGTTTTAACGGGATATGAACTTTTGACTCTTGCCTCAAGCTCCCGCCCTAACCCATCATTGTTCCCCATGTCATCACGACAGCTTCTCGGGGCTTCTCCACCCTTGCCCAGGGAGCTCTCTCCTGACCTCCTGCCACAGCACACAGGTTATTGCTTTGGAGGGTGTTTTTCCTGATCGAGCTACTCATTTTACAGCTGCCAGTACATCCCTAATCTGTCATTTTCAAGCCTGTTTAAATTAGTTAATGTACTGCAGCTCTTTTTAACTGTAAATGTTTTGATCAGATGTTAATACAGCTATATGCACACTTTAGGTTGCCCACCTAACACAAGGTATGAATACACCGTAGAATATTAGTGATGTGGAGTGCAGCCGAATCAAGTATTTGCCATCTGAAACCCCAGCCTCCCCCTGCAAAGAGGAAAGAAAGGAGCTTTGATCTTTTTAGTCCATAACTGTGGTGAAGTCATTGGTTATTAGTATTTTTAAAAGCTTTGCCCAAGGACACACCACCACTAAAATGTATTATTAGTAACATATTGAATAATTTAAAGCGTATCACTAAAACTGGCCAATACAATGAATAAAATCCAGTTTGAGGAGCTTCCCCCTTGGATTCTTTTTGACTGAAGTTAAAAAGAAAAAAATCACAACCTGGTGGCCTTTCTAAATATCACATAAATTAGGCTAAAACATGATTTTATCAGCTTATACATTTTTTTCCTGATCTTCTTGTGTCATTCAGCTCAACGGAGACTCTCAGGCAAAAGTACAGCGGATTCTACGGTTGATTTCTGGTGGCGGGTTGTCCATAACTGGGTCGCATATCTTGTGTGGAGACTTCCTCTTCAGCGGTCACACAGTTGTGCTGACACTTACTTATCTGTTCATCAAAGAATGTAAGTAATAACTCATTCCTGCTTTACTGATTGTTGTAGTGGGCGGGATCCCTAAGCCCTGAAACGGATGAGTCCTTATTCTATTGGAATCGATAGCTATGGAAAGAGGTGTGTGTGTGTGTGTGTGTGTGTGTGTGTGTGTGTTTAAATCATTTCAACCAGTCGTATGTGATTTGAACACTGAAGGAAGGCTTAAAGCTTGGCCCTGGCTTCTTGCTAACATTTAGCGTGCCTCCAAAATGTCTCCCTCCTTGGTTAGTACTTCTTAAGGTATGAAAAGCTATTTTAATGTTGAAACAAAGAAGAATCATTGTTAAGGTTACTGCAAAAAAGAATCAGTGTGCTCCAGAGCCAAATGGGAAGGACTTTTTTTTTTTTTTTGCGGTACGCAGGCCTCTCACCGCTGTGGCCTCTCCCGTTGCGGAGCACAGGTTCCGGATGCGCAGGCTCAGCGGCCTTGGCTCACGGGTCCAGCCACTCCGGGTCATGTGGGATCTTCCCGGACCGGGGCACGAACCCGCGTCCCCTGCATCGGCAGGCAGACTGTCAACCACTGCGCCACCAGGGAAGCCCTGGAAAGGACTTTTGAATGAAATTTCCATTGTATGGAACATGCATTCCATCACCCCAAATACTTTGGTTAATATTTTCCCCTTTTTAAACTTTTTGTAACGTTTCCTTATCCCACTTTATTCTAATTTCGTCCCTTCCAGTAGCTTTCTGTGCTTGAATATGCAACTTCATGAAACAGTTTGCCAATACTAACCGTTTTCTTCTTAGAAAGCAACATGGAGAAGAGAATATGAAATATCTCCCCATATTTATATGCTTAATTCCCATTATACAAAATTCTTGTGTATTCCAGTGGCATTGTGTTTTTTTTTGGGGGGGGCTTGAATAACGTCTTGTGCATCGTGAAGGAGGTTGTGTTTGGTTTTAGCTGCCTAGCAGATTTCTGAAGCTTTGTATATTTGGGCCCATTATCTCAAAATCCTTTTGAAGTAGTGATGCTTCTCCCTCCATTTCTACCAAGCTGGTCGGTATTAACCTTCATCTTTAGTTCCAAGATACCCTATCCCCATGCCAGTGTTCTTTTAGAGGCTTATCTCAATTTTCTTCACTTGCAGAGCATATCACGGAGGTCTTTGGGCAGAGACCAGGGGAAGGAGGCCCTTCCCTCTGTCCTCCTTGGTTAATCCCCTTCTCTCCCTTCTTCTCTTAGTCTGTCATTAATCCAAACAGGTTTAGACCCATCAAGGTTTATCTTCCAGTGGTGCAGAAGTGAATTCTTGCCCCATAGACTGCCCGGGGTTATAGGTTTTAATTCTGCTTTGAGGGCAATATGACAAAGAGAAGAGGGTCTCCGTAGTAGATGAGGTCTTGTTTGTTTTTTTTGGTGACAGTTGTACATCTTCTGAATTGTTTTCTTTCTAAATGCTACACACAAGCTTTCAGTTAGGAGAGCAGCACGTTAAGTGTTCAGCCTTTGTCATACTGTCTGACTTGAAGGCAGAGGGCCTTTTGCACCTTGCCCCATAGTTCTGTTCTTACACGGTTGGAGAGGGGTGGTGGAGGGGAGGAACCTAGCTCTGTCTGTGCGCCAATAACTCCCCCTTAAATTTCAATCTTCTGAAATTTCTAATTTCTAATACCTAGTTACAGGTTCTGGGTGGTGGGCAGATCGATTTATGTTGTTTATAGTGCTCACTCTTTTGCTGTGGAAAGTTCAGCAAAAACTGATCTGTGTAAGATCAGTCATTTTCCAGTCCAGAGGTTCATTTGGGTTGTAGGATCCTCTCTCTAATCTGCAGATCCTAAAAGCTTATAGAAGAAGAGGAGGAGGATGGGCTTCCCTGGGGGCGCAGTGGCTGAGAGTCCGCCTGCCGATGCAGGGGACACGGGTTCGTGCCCCGGTCTGGGAAGATCCCACATGCCGCGGAGCGGCTGGGCCCGTGAGCCATGGCCGCTGAGCCTGCGCGTCCAGAGCCTGTGCTCCACAACGGGAGAGGCCGCAACAGTGAGAGGCCCGCATACCAAAAAAAAAAAAAAAAAAAGAGCAGGATGAGGGCCGGGAGGAATTACATGTTAGAGTGAAGCTACTGTGGGTGGAAAACATAAGGTAATGAAGAGAAAACATCCCAGGAAACTGAGAGTCAGTTTCATAAAATAATTGAAGACCAAGTGATATTACCAATAACAGCAAATAGACATAGTACTATTTTTTCTGTTCCAGGCACTATTCCAAGGCCTTGATGCAAATTAACTCATTTAATCCTTGTAGCTACCTCATGAGGGAAACACTTTTTCCCCATTTTTCAGAGGAAACTTAAGCATAAAGAAAGTGAATGAATTAAGCCACAGTCCGCAGTTAGTAATTGGAGGATGGGGTATTCAAACTCAAGCAGGCTGACTGCAGAGGGTACACTACCAATTTCCTGGCTCTGTTTAGAATTTTTGGAAACCCAAGCTGTCTGATCTTATAGAATTGCTAAGAAATAGCCTGGATGTATTGCTCATTGTTGTACTTTCACCTCAGAGCAATAGCAGGGCAACTTTGTGTTTATTTCTATGCTTTAATAAAGGCTGATGCAGTATGTAGAGACATTTTCTTCCCCACGTATGATTTGAGCTTGTGTTGTTTAAATTGTATAAGTCTACGTACATCAAGAAAAGAATTACATTCTGCTTTTTCCTTTCTATTTTTTTTAAATAGATCTTTATTGGAGTATAATTGCTTCACAATACTGTGTTAGTTTCTGTTGTACAGCAAAGTGAATCAGCCATATGTATACATATGTCCCCATATCCCCGTCCCTCTTGCGTCTCCCTCCCACCCTCCCTATCCCACCCCTCTAGGTGGTCACAAAGCACGGAGCTGATCTCCCTGTGCTATGCAGCTGCTTCCCACTAGCTAGCTATTTTACATTTGGTAGTGTATATATGTCCATGCCACTCTCACTTTCTCCAAGTTTTGGTGAGAAACAAAAGGGCACATCTGTAATGCTTGATACAAACCCAACTTCAGAGTCAGTTCTGTACATAAACTGGGCATTCCATGTTTACGCCCATTTCCTATGCAATTAGGAAAAACAGTTACCTTCTAAATTATACCATGTGTCGTTGTTCCGAGTAAGCATTGGTTCCAGTGGTTTCTTTGAACATTCTGCTTCTAGAATTAGATACATCATTTGTATATTTTTTGCTTTCCTGCCTTTTGATCATTTTGGACTCTCCCTGTTTACTCCGTTGTTACAAGCAGATTTGAATTTAGTCATGAGAGGAGTTGAAAACGTGGGACCAGAATCATTTTGTGGATTAGCAAGAGAGGGTCTGACACAGGTGTGCAAATATTATCTTTGGGACTTAGGTTCCTTATAAAATTAGCCTGGAGAAATCAATGTAGCTCTTAGAACCAAATGTCTTGCTAGTCGAGAAAACTACTTTTTCTTTTCTTTTTTTTTTTACCTTACTACTACACAAAGTCTATTGTCTCTATTATTCATTGACAGCTAGGGCTAGGATCCCACACAGACAGTGGAGTTCATTAATAATTGTATCATCATCTCTCAGCTCAAGGTTATCCCTGTGGGTAGAATGAGAGAACAGAGAGGATTACCATTTTGCCATTTCTATTTCAAAACAGTTTATATTAAATCTTTTCTTTGGGCCAGCCAGTGTTCTCAATTAATGAGCAGTGATCCCAGTGTGGTAGCTCATAGAGAATACATTTTTATGTGCTAGGAGAGCAGTGCTAGGGCATCTAGCCATTCCTGAAACCTCATTTTCAATTCCACGAGTAGTAAAATGGGCCACCTCTTTACTCCCTGCCTACTTCAGCTTTGCTTCTTGTGGATAAACAAATAGAAAATAGTTGTGCTTTGCTCAGACATTTTGGACTTTTAAGGTAAATACCAGATGACCTGTTAGGAAGGGAAGCAGGGCTGATGTGAGGGTTCAGGGAGGGGTGAGGTCTGTGGTGCTGGAGAATGCATATTTAGTGAAATCTCCAGATTTCTGAATGTTACTTCAATTTTTAACATTCAGATCCTAACAGAACAGTTATGGGGACTGGATCTGGCCCCCCAGGCTGCAGAAGTAAGGCCTCTCCTAGCTATAAAATTCTCGGATTTCCTGAGTTATCTGCTAGAACCTCGTGGCAGAATGAACCAAGCAAGAGTTGGAAATAACGAGCTGCACATTCAGAAGTAGGAAATCAGACTTTCAAATGCAAATACGGGTTTATCATCTTACTGTTCCACGTGGGACTAAATGAGCAACAGCTATTCAATTTCTATTTGAACCATGTTTGATTTGATGTGTCATGTAAAGTTCTGGAAATGGATCTCTTTGCTATTCAACCATTCTTCCACACTTGAAAGTAAATATCACTATAAATATAAACACAGTTAAATATGAAATAAATTTTAGTTTATTCGATTATTATCTTTGTGAGCTAATAAAGCTTTAAAATAGAAAAAAGGAGACAGTCATTCAAAGAAAAGAAAAGTTATTAGAGATGAGCACTGGTTCCAGTTACACCTGTGTCATTACCACCTGTGTGGGAAGGCTGGGGGTCGTGCGATCATGTGTAACCTACCGAGCGCTTTAGTTCTCTCTTATAGCTGATCAGTGTCATGAACTTAGTGCCCTCTCTAGGTAAGGCTCAAACCCATAAGTGAATAGGCATGAATCCCACGCTTTACATAGGGAGTGTCTTATAGTTGCTATTGGCAATAACAGTATAAAATTGCTGAGAATCAAAATATTGCTAGCCACAAATACTATTTTTCTCCCCCTGCAGAAATCAAAGTAAGTTTATATATAAGACCTAAAATTACTCTTGCTTTCTCATTACCTCCTCCACCCCACCGCCCCTTTTTCATAGACAACGACCCTTTCTTTTTCTTTTTTTGGCCACACAGCACGGCTCATGGGATCTGAGTTCCCTGACCAGGGGTTAAACCCAGCCACAGCAGTGCAAGTGCTGAGTCCTAACCCCTGGACCATCAGGGAGTTCCCGACAACTATCCTTTCTTTTCACTCTCCTGTTTCTCTTTCCAGTAGGGTCCCTACAGGAGCCAGTATGAGCCAATTCCAACCTAATGTGAAATATTTCTGTTCTCTTCCTAATTATTAAACACTGTGGGTAAGACCTAGAGTATCTAGTGTTACCAACCGCCCCAGGGAATTACTATTAGACCTGTTACCAACAGCACCCCATCTCCCCCGGGCAACCGGAGCAAATCCCGGCCAGTTCACAGGGACTCATTTTGGGTAATCCATTTTCTCCTTCAGTGACTCCCTGGCCTTAGACTTTTCTCCGGTCATTAGGATAGACTGTCGTCATTCAGTCCACCTCTGGGAATCCTATTAACTGTTCACTTTTCTGCTGTCCAGATTCGCCTCGTCACTTCTGGTGGTATCATCTAATCTGCTGGCTGCTGAGCGCTGCTGGGATCATCTGTATTCTTGTAGCACACGAACACTATACTGTCGATGTGATCGTTGCTTATTATATCACAACACGGCTCTTTTGGTGGTACCATTCCATGGCCAATGAAAAGGTGAGAGCGATGAAATTATCCTTGGATGATTTCTTTTCTTTAAATGCAGCGGACCCCTTTTCACACAGCGGAGTTTCCAGTAGCTTAATGGGAATAACTGCTGTTGCCGCCTAAACGTGTGGTTTAGGTCAATTCACTTAAACTTATATGCTCAACCTTATGAGCTCTCCTTTCACTCTTCCATCTTCCTTGACCCACAGATCTGACCAGTGACATATCCTGAAAATTTTTCCTCCCGGAGAGCTAGCTCTCCCACCCATTCTTGAGTCTCCAGTCTTACTGGAATTGCAGGCAGAAGATTTGCCTGAGAACTTCTCTGGTGGTCCAATGGTTAAGACTCCGCGCTTCCAATGCAGGGGGCACAGGCTTGATCTCTGGTTGGGGAACTAAGGTCGCACATGCCACAGGCATGGCCAAAAAGTAAAAAAAAAAAAGAAAAAAGATTCGCCTGAGCCACAGAGAGGGAAAGAGTAGAGGGGGTTGGAAGTGTGGCCGGAGTCCTGTCAGAGTTAGGGGAAAGGAGCAAAGACAAGCATTGCCTTGCGATCCGGATTCTGCTGCTTTCCCTGTTCAGTTACAGCAAATGACAGTTTAATTAAGAAACAAATTAGGATGCAAATTGTGAAAAATATGTCTCATTTTACTTTTTTTCTACCTTTTACAGAACTTGAAGGTCTCTTCACAGACTAATTTCTTGTCTCGAGCATGGTGGTTCCCCATCTTTTATTTTTTTGAGAAAAACGTACAAGGCTCAATTCCTTGCTGCTTCTCCTGGCCACTGTCCTGGCCTCCTGGCTGCTTCAAGTCGTCTTGCAAGAAGTATTCACGGGTTCAGAAGATCGGTGAAGATAATGAAAAATCTACCTGAGGAGCAAAAACAAAGGCATCAGCTCTTAGACCAAAAGAGTTATCGCTGTAACCAAAGGTATAGTTTTGTTTTTGTTTTTATTTTAGGAGAACTGATTGCTAAATGAAGCAGACCAAATTTTGTGCAAATGATTAGAAAGATGAACGAAGTATTACCCTTTGACTGGTTTTTTATTCATCCTGAGAAAGTTATATTCTCCTGCAGCTCTTCATTCATTGGTCACAAGCCCTCAAACTGGGATTTTACTAATGAGCTTGTTAAGGAGGTGCCAGAGAACATACTACTCCTTCCCTCATTCTTTTTCTCCACTAAAGCTCTCTACTTCAGAATTTTTTCAGGAATATTTTTCCCTCCAAGGTCAAAAGAATTTGTTAATGTTTTAAATAAAAATCTGATATATACGGCACTGTGTAAATAGAATCACCTAATGTTGAGAGTGATTTTTAGCATTAGGCTTATCAGCGAAGGGGAGATCCATGGGTTGCGAGTGAACTTCAGGTGAACTTTGTTTCTGCTCTGTCAAGGGGAAGGTCAGGGTCAGGTCTGGGAATATGCGCTGCTGCTACCACCCAATGTACTATATCACTTTCACTTTATTTTTTTTTTTTAACTGATAATTTTATAACTTAAAAAAGAAAGATGAACTAAGAAAATATCAAAGTATTTGACACACCCCACAGATTTTACATGTGTGTAAATATTTCATTTTAAGATCTCTATGACAGATACACAGGAGACATGGGGCTGTTTATGCTAACGAGGAGTCCTGCTGTCCACCTGGTAACTCTGCACCTGTACCCCCAGAGCAGTCAGCAGTGTAGCACAGGCTGAACACACATAGCTGTATGAACTGCTGCTCATGTCCTTGTGGGGAACAAGCCTGTGTTTCTCTCCCAGGTCACGCCCTGTGTGAGATCCGTTTTAGAGCTGCAGATTGGAACTCAGAAATACAGTTGCTCACATTTCACTGAAATCCATTTCTTCCTAGTGACATTGTGCTTTATGGAAAAACCAAGATGGAATCCAAAAGTTTAATGCATCCTTGCCTTTTAGCAAGAGACTCCGTTTCTTATGTACTGGTCCTAAGGACACATACCACAATTGAGTAATTTTACTTTGACCCTAAAATTATACCACGGTGCTGCACTATAATCTATGGTTGGAATTGGTGTGTTAGTGGGTTACAGCTACTCAATAAAGGGGGATAATAGTTTCTAAAGTTCTTTCAGGTGATGCAAAAAAAAAAGAAAAGATGGATTTTTAAAAATCTGACCAGATGTAGTGCATTATTTAATGCTGTTGAATCTTTTGGATAATTCTTGGCTTAATTTCTTTAGACTTCTAGTAACCGTAGGAAAAAATTTAAGGTCACAAAGTCATCAACACTAGTCAGAGAGTGGAGAGGCCAGGGGGGCTGGTAGGAGGCAGTTACATTTATACTGAAGGTGGAAATTTCTCCCCACTTAGAATGAAAAACATCCCTAAATTTGTCATTGTAAACAAGTCGGCCTTGATTCGGTACACAAAATTGACCTTTAGATTGTTGGAGAGAAGCACAATACAGATCTGTTCAGAAGGGTCATCATCCTTTGGTGCTAAAACTCTGTATATGTTTTCAGTATGGCTCTTTCTCTGTGTGAAAAAGAAACACTAAAAGTTGAATTCAAAGACAGAAAGACAGACTAATCTGGTTATTTACAACAAGAATTGAAACCCTAAACATCCTTGGCAGGCTTTGGAATGCAAGAAGTTTTTCTGGTATTTATTATTAAGTAAGTCAGTAAGAAACATATGTGTAGCTTACCTGCTGTGTTTAGCTATATTTCTACATAATTTTCACTTATTTTCATTTGTTAAATATTGACATCTGCGATAAGACAATGTGTTCTACTTGAAAACACTGATTTTAAATTTCTGCTGTCTAATTGTGACGAAAAGTATCTGATATGGAAGCCTGGGTTTTGCTCTCCTAACATTGGTATATTCCTTGAGCCTCGAATTCAAATAAAACAACCTGCTATACCTTAGAGCCTTATTCAGCTGCATCTTAGATAACCCACTCTTCTTCAAATTAAGTAAGGAAAGGTGTTTAAGCTTTAAAAATCATGGAGACCCTTGAAAACAGTATAAACCTTGCATTTTAGTCAAATAATCCTGTTTTGGTTTTTTTTTCACGTAATACCATCACCTTTTAAAGAACTTTAAAAACATCTATGACCCCATTTGTGGACACTACTGCTCCCGTGTTCTTTACATGTATATGTCATAGCTCTCTAATAAATGCTGTGAAAGCATGTGCTATGAAAATAAGGGGGGTGGGGAATATCAAAGTTTCTAGATGGGAAAATAAGAGAAATAACAAAACCCATTTAGGAAAGCAAACTTCAGTTTCAACCCAACATGCCACTTTGGGATATAAAGCATAAACAATTACTAGACTTACTGTGGTGATCATTTCACAATATATACAAGTAAATCATTATGTTGTATACCTAAAATTAATATAATGTTATATGTCGATTATACCTTGATTAAAAAATCATAATTATGAGCTTGCCTTTTGAAACAATAAATTTTTGGAACTCCTTTTCCTTGCTAATCAATCTATAAGATCTTATCCGTTATCCTTGTTTGAAGCTTTTTCTGTGATTAAGTCCTCGGTGCAGTATTTCTATAATAGTTCCTGTAAATGATGCCACATTTTTTTCTAAATTCTTTCAAATGAAAATAAATTCCTTTCAGATTCTATTTTTTTGATCTCCTCCACTAGCTCTGAAAATAAAGCCTTCTTACCTACTCGGTTCCACCCAAAGTAATTTAGAATTTGTTATTTAATTTACTGGCATCTTGGGAAACAAGTTTTGCTGTGGAAGGAAGGCGGTTGTGAGTGAGCCCGAGTTTCTAGTCTTGGTTGATGGATGACATTGCAAAGGTTCTTTGCTGTATAGCAGTGCCCCCTTGTGGAAATACTTTATATGACTTGGAACACAAATGCCACTTTTTTTTTTTTTTTTGCGGTACGCGGGCCTCTCACTGTTGTGGCCTCTCCCATTGCGGAGCACAGGCTCCGGACGCGCAGGCTCAGCGGCCGTGGCTCACAGGCCTAGACGCTCTGCGGCATGTGGGATCTTCCCGGACCGGGGCACGAACACCTGCATCGGCAGGCGGACTCTCAACCACTGCGCCACCAGGGAAGCCCCAAATGCCACTTTTTAAAGTGTATTTTCGTGTTTTGAAAGGCATTTTAAAAATTATTTTTGTCAATAATCTGAAAGCATCATGCAAAACGATAATTATTTTCAAGGCATTTTAAACCTTTCCCAAAGGGAAAATGTGCTTAGATCACAGGGGGTTGCAATTCTAATCTTTTGTAAGTTTGATCAAAGAAAACTTGCGGACCGTTTTTACCTCTCACCATCACAATCATTAATGTCTCCCTTTATAACTGCCTATACTTTGTTTACTTTGAAACATCAGGTTGGCTGTCTTTCTTATGTGGTTTTTTTTTTTTTACATGCTAGAATTCATGCAGTTTCTTTTTCAGTCGAGAGTTCACATCTTGTTCCTTGAATATTTTGAACATTTCTTTTAAAATTCTTTTATAAAATTTTTTTGTTTTGCACTGTAAAACTGATTAAAAGTTTAAGCTGGTCTTAACACACTCACTTCTGTAGTGTAAGGAAGTATGAGAAGGAATTTCTTAATAACTGAGTTTACATGGTTAAATCAAGCATATTATAGTTAATATGCCCTGTGTTAAAGGCTTTTCTATTTGTATGTATAGAGTCCTTTTTTTAATGTCATTGTGTTGCAATAATTTAACTCCTTTGACTTACTTGCTAAAAATATTTCTTCTATTTAAGAAGTGCTCTTGACTTCAATACCTAAACACTGAAAATCATGTCAAAAGGTACCCAAAGATAAGTTTTTATACAGATACACACCTTATAAGTTGTGATTTATTTTATGATTCATTTATCTAAATATGTTGTGTTCTGAATGAATCATGAATGAGAATAGTTCTTTATTGTGGAATTATTTAAAACTGTCCTTTAAAAGAAAAAGAAGAAACTATAAACATATAAGTTAATCTAGTTGCCAAGTTGGAATTCATTACTTAATTTACCTCCTATGCAATGATTAATGCTGCAAAATGTATGGTTATGTTAGAGTATATTCACAAAAGAAATATTATTACAAGGTTTGAGAAGTAGCCAATTAAATCTTTTGGAAATTTACTGTACTGTTTCAATGTGTTAAGTGCCTTGTTGTAAAGTAAAATTTTAAGTCTAGAAGTCATTATTTTCCTGACATATATTTTTCATTATCATATATACTGTATATTATTGTAATAGTTTTATTAAATGCTTAAGTTTTAATTAAATATGTAAACTTCAGAAGCTCTTTCCCCTACCCACCAGTACCTTAATCATTGGTCTATCATATGGGATTTGAATTCAGGTTCTTTTTTTAAAAGGGGAAAATTATCTTAGTTTAGAAATATGTTTTCCATGCTTGTGCATTTGTGTTTATAAAAACATTTCAGGAGGAATTTAAGAGTGTAACTATAGTTTGTACTTCAAAATGCCATTTTACATTTACATTTTAAGTGCCTAATTGTTAGTTAAAACTAATTTATGTTTCTATTCTAAAGAGAATATGTCTACTTGGTTTCTAATCTCTTTGGCTTTGCTTAAAAAAATAAAAGAGCAAGGGCCTATACTTTGTATTTACCCAATAAACCACCATGACATCGACAGCCTTTTCAAAATTAGTATTACTGTTTTTTTAATTAATAAAACTGTTTTCTTTAAAGATTTGTAAAAAATATTTAGTTTTAAGTAGTTATTAGAACCACAAGAGGGTTATTTCCTTCAAGCACTGTTTTTTCGTTTTGTTTTTTTTGCTGTATGCGGACCTCTCACTGTTGTGGCCTCTCCCGTTGCGGAGCACAGGCTCCCAACACGCAGGCTCAGCAGCCATGGCTCACGGGCCCAGCCGCTTCGCGGCATGTGGGATCTTCCCGGACCTTCCCGGACCGGGGCACGAACCCGTGTCCCCTGCATCGGCAGGAGGACCCTCAAACACTGCGCCACCAGGGAAGCCCTAAGCACTGTTTTTTAAATAAGCTGATAACCTTCAAGTAATGGCACACTAAATAAACTGGAATGTGTTATTTTACCCGCCCTTGGATTTAAGGTGAGAAATAATTCACAATATAAGGTCACTCATGGAGAAGGTTAAAGTCAGTTACGAGTTCCATGATTCTCATTCTCATTGTTCACAGAGGAGCAAATATCATTAATTCTTCAAGGAAAGCATTCTCTCTGTCACTCAGTTGTGAAAGAAATGTCATCCTCTTCCTTCACAAAGGGGCACCAGGGTATGTCCTCAACCAGACTTTAGTAGTCATTGCAGCAGTAGATCGCTGTAAGTTGTTTTTGGACCCCCTGAGAAAAAATGAAAGCATGACCCTCAAAGACAAATTTAGTAAAAGAAACTCAGTGGGATGAGGGGACAAGGATAAGATAATATGGTTCAAAGATCAAGTTGTTGGATAATCCAAGTTTCTTTGGATTATCTGGAAATGATAGAGGATAAATCACAATAGTCTTTCTGCCACCTCCACCCAGGTCTTGGATGAAAAGCTTGTCCCATCCTCCTGTTTGAAACAATGGCTTGCTGATTTTTCTGGCCAGAGCCTCAAAGACTGCCCTTATTATCTCCAATGCATTATACAAACCTTGACACATAACATTTCATTTCTTCTAATAAAATATGTAAGAATATCAGAAGCATAAACTAGATTACTCACCGACATGTTAGAACAATAGTGGATTATGTATACTGTGTGTCTATACAATGCGTATTCAATTCATACGTGGCAGGTTGTAATGAGGCATCTCATTTTACTGTTTTTATGCTTGACATACATTCTTGAATCTTCACAAAACCCCACGAGGTAGGCAAGGAAAGAGTTGGTGACCCCATTTTGTGAGATGAAAGAACTCGGAAGTATTAGGGCTGGAACCTGAATTTTGTTTTCTCTGTTTTGCTAACCTTCCTGTGATAATTACTGTGGTCACCATCACTGTTCAGAGGTTTTGCTGTTGTCACTGTTGTTGCTTGTTTTTTAGGGGAGTTTATTCCCTTATCAGCCAGTTAGTTTGTTGAGAGGGCAGCTGGTCGTTGGAACAGGTTCTTTGTCAAATGCTACCGATTTTTCCCGTAATTGGAATTTACTACATTTCAGAGGGGAGAAAAGTCAATTCTTCTAGTGCAAAATGGCCTTGAGAGCAAAAGAATCCCCAAGTGTTTGAGCTTTCAACTTTGTAAGAATAAAGCTAACTCGTTGCAAGTATCACTTATAGGATAGTAGGTAATCATGTACCTAAGCCTTACACAAGTTGGCGGGGTGGGGGTGGGGGGGGACGGACCAAGGTGCATAAGGTTTTATCTCTAAATGGGACTCTCTCAGGGATTATTCCCAAGGGAATGTCCAAAGGCGGGAGAGATACAATGACCTGTTCTCAAAGGATAGCAAAGCTCTGAGGAAATGGAATGGAGTCTTGGGACACACTGTAGTCTGGATTGATTCTGGGCTCCCCAAGGGACCAAAGTGAAGCTATAGGATTGTTTGGTCCTGGTGTGAACTGGTGAGTTCTCTGTGCTAAAAATCTGTCCAACCTGTGCCCTTGCTTCTGATCACGTTTCTGGGCACGCTTTACTTCAGTTCTTATATCCAAGAAGTTATCTCTTTTTCTTCCTAAGGTCCTTAAATCATGTGTTTATTTGGGTAAAGAAAAAAGAAGCCACTACTCTTGAGAAGCTACCATGGATCAGGCACTGCTCCTTGGTTTCCTCTTGTTTAAAGCCAGGTGAATCTCATTATGCTCTTTTTTCCACTTGAGGGAACTCCAGACTCAGATAGCTAAATATAGTACAGGGAGCCCCGCTGGCTGATTGGCACACAATTGCCCAAAGCCCATAATCTTCCCACCATATTAATGGGATGGAAGAATCACCTGCCGTGGGAGGAATGCAGGAGAGGAAGAATTGCCTCTTCCAGAAATCTTTGGACAACCAAGTTTTGTGCTGTTGAGAGCAAAGTTATGGAGGGCTTGAGCTTGAGCCTGTAAGATTCTTTAACCCACATTCAGCAGATTTCCTTTCTCCACCTTAACTCTAGTCCTTTCATCTATAAATATGCTCTTTCCTCTTTATATCCTCATGCCCTATTACTGACGTGTGATGAAGGGGGCAAAACCCAGTTGCCCCGTCATTCCTCTCCTGTCATCACACACCTGCCTCTGGCAGATGGCAGGGGCTCTGGGTCTGCGAGGAGACTGAGCCCCCAGAGCACACACCCCAGGCCCCCAAGCACACAGGGTTTTTCAGGGAGGAAGTGATACTTTTGAACATATTTTGTATTACATCTGGTCAGTTTCCCAGTCCATGGGTTGAAGGGAATGTTTACATTTGACACCAGGGGAAAGACATTTCCCAGATGTCTGCGTGGGTTTAAGCCATTTTAACAAAATACCATAAACTGGGTGGCTTAAACGAAAACGTTTAATTTCTCACAGT